GTCAATTCCACAGTTATTTATTGAGAACCTACCGTGTACAGGATATTCTACTTAACACAAAAATGAATCAGAAGTCCCAAGGAGTTTATGGAGGATGGAGGTAACTATAAAACAAGGCAGGATAAGTTAAGGGCAATAAGAGTGATACACATTGCTTTGTAGCTTGAAAGGAGAATGAACTAATTTTTGTTGGAGGGACTGGGAATGGCTCATTTGTAAATGTGTGCATTTCAGTTTGGGCGATTGAGAGGGGCAGAGCAGTTTCTTCTCTGTGCCATTGTTCCGTATAGTATTTGATCCTCTCTCCCCCCTTTTAAGAAAAACATTGCTGTACATTAATCCTTCCGAAGCCTTTAACGGTATTGCTGAGACAATCACTTAAGCATTTAAAATACACACCACATAGCACACTTTTAGATGCGGCAATGGTTAGCCACTGGAAAACTAACCATTGGTTTTGATAAAGGGGGGACTTTTGTATGTTATGGCTTATGACAGAGAATGGAAAAATGCTTCAGTGAGTCAGGCTGGCATTTTAAATTGGAGCACAATAATAGCAAAAAGTGCTGAAGTCAACAGACTGCTTAGAAATATGGTTACCATTTGCTGAGAGAGGCCTTTCAAGGTGGCCACATACATGCGATTACAACCACAGTCAGTTCAGTTTTTCCCTAAATGTGGGATTGTGACCCTGATTGACGCCAGTGAGAGTTATGTACTTGCAAGGAAAGGAGATTTAAGCCATCCCTGAATCCAAGACAAGTAGGAAATAGGTGAATAAGCAACAAATTATAATAGACTTATACATTACACATAATTTAGGTTGGAAACCATGCAAAGGTGACGTGCTCTTCTGAATCTTCTGGGTCTGGCTTGAAAATTCTTTTTTCCTCCAAGGATATTAAAATGAATTGATGACTGGTCTACACAACTTTGAGAAGATAAAAAAAGGTAGAATGTTGATATGGAAGAGAGTCTTAGAGGTGACATTTGATTTATGTCTTGGACAGTACTTGGAGATGGCTGCGAAACCTGGAGAATGTGAATTCCAAGGAAAAGCATCAACAAGTGGAAGAAGTTCTGTTCCTCACAAACAAACCAGAGAAATAGGTGAACTTGGTTGGGCAAATTGCTTTACCCCTCTGGGCCTCATTGTCTTCATTTGTAAAACTTAGAGAGTTGGACTGGGTGAGCCCTAAAGAATTTTCCAGCTCCAATGTTCAGTAAAATAAAGACTAGCAAAAATAGACAATAGGGCCAATTGTAGTTTTTGTTTGTTTTTAAGATGGCAACCTTTAGGGTGTTTGAAATATTGGGAATAGAATGGAATCATTGAGGGGGAGAAAATGATGGCAAGAGAAAAATGTCAAATGGAACAAGGTTCCAAGTAAGTGGAAGGGGACAGTGTTGGGGGAACACTTCTTTCCCACTTCTGATGTTACCGCCCTCGTTGGGGGGACTCGATTAATGTAACACTCCTGATCTCCTGCTTTTTCTGTCCTAATGGAGGTGGGGTGACTTAGTCTGGTAAATTTCCGAAGAAGAAACTGGACGTGCTCTGCTCATCTCCTTCCTTTTGCTTTTGGGCAGCAGTCCTGACCACAAGCTGTTCTCTACCCCTCCAGCCCTTAAGTCTTTTCTGGGGGAGGCCACCTCCTCTTCTGGGAGCTTTGACCTGATCCAGCCTGCCAGTGATTATGTGGGCAGACATAATTTGGGGATTCAGTTTCCAGGTGCCTGTGGCTATCACAGTAAGCCATGTCCTCCAGGTAAGCCTTCATCAGTAATAATGGTGATATTTTGGTCTCCCATTGCCATATCTTCATCTCATTTCTCAGTATGTTCAGAATTTGGATGGGAAAGAAGAGTGCTATCTATTTGGCTCTCTGAAGACCCCAAAAGTTGGGATTCAGGGGGACAGAATTGGTTTTGGTGAGAAGGGAGATTATTCTTTCTGAGTGAAGAGAAGGCAGTAGTTATGAAGAACTAGAGATACTTTGAGGTATGATTGAGTTTCAGAGATACAAAATCATCTCAGTAAAGTTGGGGGTCAAATAATCAGTTGAGAAGGAGTCAGCAGGGCCGGAATTGAAAAGTTAAAAGGAGAGAAGTTTTACAGCTGTCTCTGTGGAGAGTGTACTAAAGAATCCACTAAAAGGAACTAAAGGGGGCCGGCCCCATGGTGCACTCAGTAGAGTGCGGCACAGCGGTGCTCCCGCCGCAGGTTCGGATCCTATATGGGGATGGCTGGTGCGCTCACTGGCTGAGCGCCGTGCGGACGACACCAAGCCAAGGGTTGCGATCCCCTTACCGGACACACACACACACACACACACACACACACACACACACACACACACACACAGTAACTAAAGGATTGCCAGTCAGGGTGGCAAACATTTAAGCATTTAAAATACCACATAGCACGCTTATTTTAGACATGGCAGTGGTTAGCCACCAGAAAACTAACCATTGGTTTTCATGACAATGGTTTTGATAACAGGCTTGAATGGGTAGGGCTCTAAGGCAGCCTCGTTCTCTGCCACCAGGGACAGAAGTGGTGAAAACTGCTCTCTAAAATATATTTTATTGTTAGGATTATGCAAAATTTGAGAAGTTAATGAAAGGAATCTATTAGGGTTGGACAATGAATAGTTATATCTATATTGTTATAAATGCTAAACTGTTTTCCTTCAAGTTCGATAGGTTAGATAACCACTAAATTAACCCTTGTCTCAGTGGATTCAGGTTTTTCTTCACCCCCCCCCCCCCCCCGGGGGGGGGGGG